CTTTTCCCTGTGGAGCCTTTATCATCACTTTCATTCCAGATTTCTGCTTGATGTATAGAAACGATTGTTGTCAGTGCAACGTGACATAAAAGAAGGTGAAGCTGTTTTGAATTACCCGTCCCATCTCTCGGAGTTTGGTGAGCATCACTACGATGGTGGAGTTGTGCTCCCACAGCATTCTCCAGAAGTCCTCTGTGGTCTCGGCTAACGGGCCCTGGGTGGCCATGTAGGCTTTCTGCTGCCTGCAGATGGAAACAGAGACACAGAGCCTGTGTTTACTCCTCTGGGCTGCAGCAGCTCTGCTGCTATTTGGCTTCAGTTTTCTTCCACTTCAGCTCTGCTTCAGAAAATCACTTTGGGTTTCTTTCTGCAAAGCAAAGTGACAGCAGTTAAATAATCTCACTGTTGCCCCCTCATATGATCATGAAATGGACAGAAATCGAAAAGGTTTAGTTTGATCTGTCAAGTTCGTACACGTACAGTCCAATGAAAGCAAAGAAATATCTTTATTCTCATCTTCTTACCTGATTGTGATTCAGTAAACTGTGTATGAGTTGCTTAGCCAGATAATCACCAGCTGCCCCAAACTAATGTTACCTGCTTTTTTATGTCAGTTAACGATAGACTCAGTGCTCCCAAAGAGATCTGTGACTTGGTTTTAGGAACTTGGGGGTCTGGGTATTTCGGGTGATGACCCACTTTGCCTGGCTGGTTCTTAGACACGTAAGCTGATAAATACCTTAGAAAACAAGAACTTGCTCCATTAAAATGTGCAATGGATCAAGTACATCTGCCTAAAAGGCTCATTATGAATTACAGTCATGGTTTTTCACAATTCGTGACACTGCAAAAATAAAAGAGTTAATTTAGCTGCGGCTTCACCACATCCGGATAATCTGGGCAATGACATCCCACAAGTGTTGGACGAACCTCTCAGGTGTTAAATATTTAATTTCACATCCCCCTTTAAAGAAAGTTTGATGAGTCAGCTGCTTGCTAATGTGTGCGCTGATTTTTAAATAGTTTTGCTTGAACACATCGCCTTTTTAACAGCTCTGTTAAAATGACAGATGCCACCCCAGCTGCTCCGCCGGCTCGAGGCGATCCTCTGCAGCTGGACACCACCAGGGGGCAGTGTTGACACATATAACAGTGGGCCCAGGTATTTCCCACAGACTTGCATGCCTGGGTGTGTTTCTGTTATCTGTATATATCAGTGCTCTTGTGTGACACTGGTGTTGGAGGCTTTGTTGTTTTTGGCTACATGTTTGTCCTCCTCTCACGAGCAGTGGAGCTATTATTTCAATACTCTATAACACAACAACCAAAATAAATATGGGAATGAAAGCTGCTTATTTTGATGCTGTCACTTTACCTGCTGAGCGCTGCTGCCTGACTGAAGCATTTAACCAGCAGCAGCTGATCCTGCCTGGCTAAGTTCATTTAAAGCCAGATTGTTGATGAGCACCCAGAACAGTTTGAACCAAATGTTACTAAACTGTAGTAGCCCTGACCCTCTAAAACAAAGGTCTGGATATTAGCATATATGCTAATATCCAGACCTTTGTTTTAGAGACAAGGCTGGAGTTATTCTGCCTATTTTCTACTGCCAGCAGAAAATCAAAACCCAACGTGTCTCTAAGAACTTCATGTTCATGTTAAGCTGATGTCACTTAAGCCTCCTGGGATTGAATACAAAACTTTGGATGCTGCTTAAGATGTAAATAAAAACAGTGTGCAATCATTTGCAGGTTGGAAGCCTGAAAGCTCCACATTTTTATTCTTGGAGTAGAGTGGCTTTGCATGATTTGCAGTTCAAAATAATCCTTATTTACATTGTTATTATTATCTTGGCTTAGCCCCCCTTTAAGGCAGCTTGTATCTAAATGGATGACTAAGGCTTTAACAACATGTGGTGCAGCTTTTGTGACTATATTGATCTAAACCAG